TCTTTGTTTCCTGGAAGAAAAAAAATAGCCCTATTATCACCCACAGGTTTTCTTTCCCCCTCAGGAATCTAGTAAGATTAAATGTGATCATTCAATGAGAGATTTACATGGAATTTTTGAATAATTTACTAATTGGATGATTCAGACTCTTGAAATACTGCCTCCTTTAGAATATATTGGTTTAGAATTAGTAGCCCTCTTGTTGAACAATCACAACGTTAAATGTAAAAGGAAAGCATCACATTCTCTTCTTCATTTAGCATGTTGTAAAAGGTGTGATTATCTTCCTCATTAATATAAATACTATTATGCTGTAAGTTCTGAAAGGCAGCCTGCTTATCCACCTAAAGTTCATGATTCTTATCCTACCTCTTCACTCCTCAGCACAAAAACCTGAAGATTCTTTGGTCTATCTGAATTTCTAACTTACTTTTTTGGAAACTGATAATATTTGAAATACCAGTTAAAATCTAGCAATATCATGTTTCTTATGAATGCTCCCCCGCCAGAAATCTAATAACATTGCATAAAAAAGACAAAGTAACAATTTTCTTTCTTCCAAACCAGTCAGCTATGCAATCTTGAGTTCTTTTAGACCTTCAGAAGGTATGATCAGTATGCATAGGAAAAGTCATGTCTCTTACTTAACTTTGCAAGAGTGCACTGCAAAGCATTAATAGCTGCATTGCCTTGTTAATAAACTTCAGTCAAAATGCTTTGGGAGATAATTTGATTAAAAAAAGAATAAAAAACACCGAAGCTGAAATATTGCTTTTATAAGCTGTAAGATCAATTCACCATGTGCTTTTCTAATCATCTGAAATATATACATTTAAACAGAAAACACAGATGACTTCGCATTCTCCCATAGCACGCCAGTAAGCATGAAAAGTTCCTTGTAATTCTTTTTTCTAATACTCTCTTGTGCGCTGACTTATGGGGGAAAACTTTCCATGAAAAATGTGTGCTACTTTTCCACTTTTGGCCCTGTATGTGCTTCTTTTCTGCCTTAATTACAATATAAATCAACTGCAAAAAAAAAAAAAAAAGATTTACAATGATTACACCACACTTAGAGAGCTTCGAAGATTGATCTGGAGGTGGTATGTTTGTCAAGCTCTCTGTCTACTTCTCATCTTAGCTGGTTCTAAAGTGAATCCCAGAATACATAGCAGTGCTCAAATACAAGAAAATGTAAGAGAATAAAGACATGCTCTTTGTGTTCTCCCCAAACAGCTTTCTCTCAGAAACTTCCAGGTCAAAAGACTTGTCAAATAATTATGAGCCTCAAACCTATTTACTATATTAATAGAAAAGATTACCATAGCTACTGAACTATATTGTGAATATCCCTTGTCTTTTCTCTTTGGGTGTGTTAGTAATTGGATCAGAAACCTTCCAGTTTTGAATGAATTCTTATTACCTAGAATGTATTAAGGACAAATATATTCAGGTCATTGAACTAGCTTCTTGGAGTGAGGTTAATCTTTTACCTTTAGGAAATTTATCTTTTTTTATGCAGTCACATCAAAGTAAAACACAAACATAAAATTAAGTACCTAAGTTGATACAGTATAATGTGCTTTTTCATATTTCTACTTCCTCAAAATTTTGCTTTTAGTTCCATGGCATCGCCTAATTTTCCACACCTCTGGAGACATCTGTCTATCCAGTTATACTGCTGTTCAAGCAAGCTGGTGCCATCCTGGTTTAAGTATCAAAAAATAAATAAATAAATAAAATAGCATGTCTTTCAGAGTTCTTCATGTTAGGTTTCTTTGAGAGAGTCTTTTCTTACTTCAGTGAAAGTGATTATAGTGATTCCTTCTTAAGGAAACATAAGCCCCTTTAATAAATTGTTAGGATAGCTATTTGCTATTTTGCCAGTCCATCCTTTTTAAAAAAAGGATCCTCTTTCCAAATAGCACTTCTGAAAAATTGTATTTTCCTATTCAATCATTTCCTGCTTTTATTATTTTCCTATAGCAGAATGCTCCTGTTGAATAGTCAAGTGCCAAAGATTTTTCACTCTCAGCATATACAAGGGTTCAGAAAGATATGTAATCATACTTAAAAAATAAAGTATATTCTCAAATCTAGAAATTAGCTAGTAATTGAAATTATCATCACAGTGTTTTAACTGATGACCATTGAACTCTTTTCTGGCTAACGGCTCATAGAGCATTAATTGCACGTCACATTACAGATCTGCAGAGTTAAGTTCTGTCTTGCCCTTGGGAGTGTGTGGTCTAAAGCAACTTTGTAAGTGTCTTTCAGGGTAAAAAAAAAAAAAAAATCATTAAACCAGAGAAATTCTATTTGGCCTGTGAAGTATGTACCTCACTGTCCTTTCAAATGTCATACGTCAGCTCTGCCTCTAACAGGTACAGAGTGTTTACCACTTTTTGATACTGGTGAGAAGCACCACTATCTACTTCTCTTAACACCCAAATATCTTCCTGAGAATACTACGGAAAATCATTTCCCACATAAAGCAAATCCAAAGGGGATAGAATGTTATCCCGATTTTATCTTCTTTGATCAGTATTTGCATGGGACAGTCCACTATATATTTTAATGGATTATTTTACTTAGTTCATAATTGTGACTGTTACAAATACATCTAATTTAAGACCAAAAAAATAAAATATATATTTCTCTCTGATATAAATCAGCAAATGATATTACTAGATTTAAATTGTGCTTTATATCTATAAGATGTAAAAGAAGAAAAGTTGATAAAAATTAATGAAAAGTAGTTTTGAAAGTATCACTATTTCGTGGTGAAAAGATCACCATACCTGAAGTAGAAAGTCATAGGTAGTAAATTCATTTTTATAAAACTTTATACAAATACAGAAATATAAATCTTATTTTTTCAAATTCCACTAATTCAAAAGTGAGTCTTTTGTTCCTATTAAATGCATACAAGGCTTGCTTTGACATTGGATTTGACCTTCCCATGAAAAAATTTTGTATTTCCCAAACCAATACTGAAAACATTATGAAAGAAATTATTTATGAATTTAAGCAAATGGACTCTTTGATCACTTTAGAAACAACCCTACATATCAGGAATATAATTATAATGCTAATTTTAAATTCACAGAATACAAACTGGCATTGTATTATGCAAATCACATATCAGTTACAATTAGCTACTTACTAAAGCAAGACTTAGTCTAG